CTCTGACCCCATGGGGTACATAGGCACATCATGACTCGATTAGATTCTGAGGGCTCCGATTTTAGAGAATAAGGTTTTCAATAAGAAAAAAATCAGTCAGTCTATAACAGTGGTCAGTGCTCTCCATGCTGATTTGACATTTATTCAGTTTAGACTGAATCTTTAGCCTTCACTGTTTCAGGGTGGCCCTGTCTGGACCCCATTGGCAGCATCGAGGCGAATAACCCCACTGGTCAACAAGAGATTCTGCTGAAAAAACAGCATTGTTGTTAACATTGTTAGCATGCAGATGTCAGCATTTTGCTAATTTGCTGCAGTGTTGTGGAACGTTTGATTTGTCATACATCAATAATTTCCAGCAACAACAACTTTAAACAGAAGTTCAAAATTGTGGAAAACTGATCAAAGGGGTTGACGTTATCAGTGTTCAATATTCTGTAATGAATAATATAAGCCTTTTCTTTCGATGCTTGTTTTTTTATGTCACTAAACACTGAGTACATTTTTCATATATTATATCTTCAATGCAATATCATTCCGTGGTGCTATTACCCTCACCGTCACGACAACCACCTCTTCTTTTACTGCAAATGTGTAACTATAAGCCGACCTACTTTATCTACTACAACAAGCTGTTGTTACCTCTGCAACTGTTTCAAATTTAAAACACATTAAAACATTGTAATTCTGAATCTTCATGCTGAAGCAATAGTATACATTTCCCCCAGAATATCTGATCCTGTTTTATTTCCTTATTGTTTCCAATGGTAAATGATTTGGTAAATGCTTTGTTTTTATATAGTGCTTTTACTAGTCTTGATGACCACTCAAAGCGCTTTACAATGATCATATTGTTTTTGTAGACACATTTTGTTCGGCAGACACTGTAGAAAATCTAGGTCTTGGCAAAGGTGAGATGAAAACTACTTGGCCAGTCGATGATAGTTTGGTGATAGCAGAAAAAATTCATGGAATGACTTGATACCGCTTACGAGGATTTTTTTTTTTTAAATTGGACATATTCAGGCTGTTGTGTGTGTATCCCATTTGGCCGGCTGCAGCCTCTGGAGAGTGGATTTAAGTGGTGTTTTTCCAGCTCTTCTGGCATATTTTCTCCCAGGTGAGGGAAGGAGTTGCCAAGTGCTGAGAGCTTTCTGGCCTTCAGCTCCAGCTTTCTTTATTAAAGACGCCTGTAGCTGCCAGCTCATTTGTGTCAGTTGCAGTCCAGATGGTTTCAAATCATTTACAGTTGGATGAAAACAAATAGAGTCTGGGTGGAGGTATGGGTGGTGGGTTGAATGTGAAAGATAAGGCAGGAGAACTTAGAGGAATAAGACAGGTGTATAGCACTTAATGTAGAGGAAAGCAGCTTGGCATTATCCTCACCATGCCTCTCAAATTATATCAACAAGTCAAGTCAATTTTTAACCTTTAGATCCATGAGTTTCTCAGGTAACTATTTTGAGCTGTAGTGAGAACATTAGAAACACAATTAGAACCACACTAGTGGTAGTAAGGTGCAAACTTTAAATATAATAAATGTTTAACTGAGTTTATCCCACCAAGTTACATATAGGCTGCTCAAATAATCTAGTATCAGGTCTGTCTCAGGTAAACTAAATATGATCTTCATCACTGAGAACAAACTGAAGGAAGCTCTAATTGCTTAGCTTATCAGTAGATCAAACATATTTTGGACTAAAGGCCTGAATTCATACAACATGTTTCCATGTTTGACTTTCAAGAAGATTTTAAGTGAACTTTTTAAATATTGCAAAGAGAATATGGCTTAGAAGCAGGAGTAGCTGGTAAGTCATGTGAGTAAAGTGTTCACAATGTCAGAATTTATTTGGTAAAGTTTGCGCAAATGAGGAATTTTGGATGTGTGTGAAGATGCCAGTATTCCTACTGTTTGTCAACATGCAACTATTGACCACTATCACATTGAACTCAATGTGGCATATATTTCCATCACGGCTTTCTTTTCCCCGAGAGTTTATGCCTTTTGGCTACTTAACAGTGAATTCACTGTATTCCATTTTCACTCTAGGTTCTTACATAAGCGCCACTCTTCTGTTTCGGCTTGATTTACACCCTCTGGTTGAAAGAGTGCTGCAGTCTGTTTCTTGTTTATGAATCTGACACCTGTTGCTGTGGTGTGCCCATGATGTGTGGGAACTACAGAATTTACATAAGGGTTAACACTTGACAAGTTGTACTGCGGAGGCAAACTGTACTGGCCTTCGTGTTGGGTGGTTCAGTCCCTATGTCCTCTATTAAAATCCTGGAATTTACAGACTGGGATTACTGCGCTTAGACATTGGCCATTTGCCAACAAATATGCCAAAGAAAACATTTGCCATGTGTAATCAAACTTAATATATTCTTATAGCCTGGCTTTGAAACCATTGGAAATAAGAGACAGAGACACAAGGGTTTAACTAAATCAAAGACAATGTATTCAAAGGAAAGTAATATTCAAGAAAACATATTTCAACAACTAGTGGCAGACCAACAAAATGGTATGCTAAATTAACAATACAGAAATCATAACCCTAACAGAAGACAACATGGTGTAAAGAAGAGGAGGATTGAGCCCTCCTAAGTACAAGGAAGTGCTGGTCTCCTATAATCTACTTGGCGACAGTGGCCAGCTGCCACAATAACATTTGTTCTGTCAACAGTCACTATGTGGTCATGGTTTTCTTTTTCTAACATCATGAAATATTGTTACTGAGCCTCTGAGTTCCTGCCATTTTTGTTGCCAAGTAGGCCAGAAAGAGAAACTGTAGTACTGCATTCCAGTACACACCATTATTAAAACCTAATTTACTGCAATCAATGAACTGAATTTAGATAGTACAATGTAAACACTTCGAATGCAATTTAAAGGGCTTTACAGGTGACTGACAAAACCTATGATATAAGAAATGAATTTAGACATTTAGAGTTTAATGCAAAGAAAACAATCAATAACAAACAAGATAAAAAGAAAGTCAAAATAAATTTCAAATAAAATGTAAGTAAAACAAAATAGAATAAGATAAATAATAATGATAAAGTATAAATACAAGTAATAAAAGTACACAATTGAGCAAATGAAACACTATATTAAGCCAGAACATAAAGGCAAATTATTTATTTACTTAAAAAAATTACATTTTAGCTTTTATCAAATCCTCAATCCTGAGCATTTTATAAAACACAAAGTCAGCAACTCTCTCTCCCACTGTAACAGACTGTAACGGTCAAGCAAATATGAAAGGAAAGGAAAACCTTTGAAATACACTTTTGAAAAAACAAGGATGGGTAGTGTTGTCAGAAGGTGGGGGTTGAGGCTCTAATAGATTTGAAGAAGTAGCAAACCTGAAGCATATAGCTATAGCTATAGAAGGCTATAATCAGTACAGTACTAGTCAGTGGTTCAAACCCAGTGTTCCCCATTCCGCATGCTGAAGTGTCCTTGGGCAAGATACTGAACCCCAAATAGCCCCTGTGCCATTCTCATAGAGAAAGTGCTGCACATAGATGCACTGTATGAAAGTGTGTGTGAATGGGTTTGTGACAAAAACTTTACTGTAGAGAACCTTGAGCTGTCATTTAGACTATCTCTACAAATACAGACCATTTACTATGTCATAGATGTCTGGTGAAACTGTGCAGTAACTTATAATCAATAACTCTTTTAAGTGCATTCACTGTTCATTTTCAGTGATTGTTCCCTGACAGCAAATCTTGTGAATGTTAAGAGGTGGTTAACATGCATGTGACACCTTGGATTTCCTGAGCTTTTTATGTGCATCAAATGCATCATAAAAAGCATTTACCAGATGCAACCCAGTTCCATTATCATGTTCAGAAGGATAATTATTGAAGGCTCTGTTAAAGGTCACACACACGTGAATCCAAAACATTATTATTATTATTATTATTATAATTATTATCATTATTATTTTGTTCTTCTTGGTGTGTATGTCATTTATACATCCACATTATGGCTTTCTTGTTCTCTTCTCAGTGGTTTGTCATCTTCCATGTATAAATGGCGGAAAGTGCAGCTCCAGGGACAAGTGTCAGTGTCCTCCCAACTTTACTGGAAAGTTCTGCCAGATGCCGGTTCAGAATGGACACCAGCAGCACCAGCAGCAGGCAGGCGGCTACAGCCAAACTCAGGTCCACTCCACACACACGCTGCCACTGACCTACAGCAACGCCCAGAGCAATGGTGAGTGTAAGGCAAAGACTGTGATACCAGTGGCAGAGTGAAAAGCTGTGAGCTGTATGGAAAATGTGGGTGGAAAAAGTAATTCTTTCCTATTCCTTATCACTCAACTTTCTCTAAAGGAAGCATGCTTTAGCTCATTTACTTCAAGTCACGCTTTTCAAAGGCTTCAGGGAACACTGTGCAAAAAACAATTCACAAATGTAAACTACTGCAGCTCTGGAGGGTGGTCAGCAGTTACGTTAAGTGGAATATAATTAGTGGTAAATGGGCTAAAACAGGTGTAAACACGTTTATGTAAGTAACATAATTCCTGTTTCCTACAATAGAACTCTGGAGTACACACTTACTAAAGACTGTGATTCAATAGATAAATAATTGTCTCATCTTAAAGGTTCAGTGTGTAAAATTTAGTGACATCTAGAGGTAAAGTTCTATGTTGCGGCTGAATACTCCTCATCTCACCCTCCCCTTTCAAACATGAAGGAGAACCTGTGGTGACCTTCAGTTGTCATGAAAACTTAAAAGATTTTAGTGTGTCCAGTTTGGACAACAGTAAATACCGGCCTCCATGGACCCCTCCCTCCATGTAAATATAAAGTTATCAGATCTAAAGAGCCCATTCTATGGTAAAGACAATAATTCATACAATTTAGATGAAACACACCAGTGAAAACATCCCTAGGATTATTTTATATTCAATTTCTGCCAAAAATCCCTTTCACCTGAATCCAACACACTGAACCTTTTAATCATTGACAGTTTTTCTAATCATTTCATTATATGATGAGTCAGTGTATTACAGAAGTGCTGCACATTTTTTCCAGAAATGTGGTATTGCTCATCTTGTCCTGTGTGTCTCCAGTGTTCAGCCCCAGTATTGTCAACATCCATATCAAACATCCTCCAGAAGCCTCTGTCCAGGTTCACCAGGTTTCCCAGCTGGACAATTTCCACAACAACGGCCACCAGCTGAAAGGTTCCCAGTCAGGCTCCTCTTCATCCACCAGCTACACCTACCACCACACAGACAGCAGCCAGAAGATCCAGCACCATGGCTACAACATAGTCTATCCCAGCCAGCATGGCTACCAGGTTCCTCAGTACCAGCCTGTTACCTCCAAGAACACACTGGGCCGCTGCTTCCAGGAGACTGCAGGCAGTCAGGTACACTGTCTCTCTCTAGAACATCTCATGGAACAAGCTATTCATGAACTAGCAGCAAAATCTGAATTCAGCCAATACAATTAAAACTAGGTTGAGACAAGTTACATGACATAGTACGTAATATAAAACAAGCCCTGCAATGCTGCTTGAGGTCTAATTCTTATCTATTATATGATAAGGAGACCGTTTAAGTATTTTTCCTCCTACTTAGGTCCTGTAGTGATGCTGCCATCTACCATCCTGAACTTAAACAAATAGATTTTACTTCTTGCTGGAAGAAGAATATGTGATAAAGTGAAAGAATTGCATCACATAGTTCCCCCCAAGACAGTTTCACACAGAGCCACTCAGTATGCATGTTAGTGTTCATGCTAGATACAGAAAAGCATGTTTCCTGGCTGCCAGTGTGGAGAAATCATACTTAAAATGACTGATAACAGTTTTATCCCCAGTGCATCATACGAAGAAAATATCTAAGACCCATCCAGTCTAGACAAACACAAAACGTATAAGCACACACACCAGAATAGGTGTTTAAAATTGACAAACATATGGTGCCAGACCCAAAATAAAGCAATATCTGATAGTTGTTGTTGGTGTCGACATCAAGCACTGCAGACGAGGGGTGTAAAATGAAAAGCAGATCTATTATTGAATTTCATAAAAGGTCACAAATCGCATGTCACATTCACTAAGTCACATGTTGCAGAGTAAATACTGCTATAAAGATAAGGCTCTGTCAGGGAGGGAGGGGTGGAGATGATGTGGGTGTGCTCTGCAAGTGTCAGTCTGTAATATAGAAATAATAATGTATCCTCCTTCATCCCTGTTGTCCTCTCCCACTGTGTTACATGTATTACATCTTACAGTGTGGGAAGGCTCTGCCAGGTCTCACTAAGCAGGAGCAGTGCTGTGGAACCATTGGAACATCCTGGGGTTTCCACAAATGCCAGAAGTGTCCAATGAAACAATGTAAGTGCAACTGCTTTCCTTAGATGTTTTTATGCCTCTGCACCGGCAGCAGCCAGCGACCTGAAGCATTACGTTTTCAGATTGTCCGCCTGTCCCATTCTCATGAACACAATATCTCAAGAACCCTTTGAGGGAGTTTCTTCAAATTTTGTACAAACATTTACTTGAACTCAACGATGAACTGATTGGATTTTGGTGTCTGGAGGTCTAAGGTCACAGTGATCTTACTTTCCTGTGAATTTGATGTATCAGCTGCCCGTAGAGAATTTCCTTACTTCTGGCACAATTTGCTGATACTCAAGGATTACCTAATTAGAATTAGGGGGTCAAAGGTCATTGTTACACCATTTTGAATGTGATATCTCAGGAACACCTCAAGGGAATTCTTTGGCACACATTTTCCCTCAGATTCACTGATTAACTAATTAGACTTCGGTGGTCAAAGGTCAAAGTCACGAAATCCTTGCTAACCATGTTTTTGTCGGCTTGAATGTGACATCTGAAGACCGCCGTAAGGGAATTTCTTCAACTTTTGATCAGTTGTCACTTGGACTCCGAAATGAACTGAGTAGATTTCAGTGGTCAAAGGTAAAGGTCACAGATGACCTCATATGAGTCCTGGAAATAGACTCAGACTCACTCACTGCTCCTATTCTCATTACTCTTATAGAAACACACAGTTCTACTTCCTGTAGTACCATGTTGTCTTAGTAATGAATCAGAGGGTGTAGTAACACAGCTTTTCAACACTGCCTTTTTACACACACAGCGTTTATAAGTCATCAACAGCAGCTCATGGACGCGACGTGTCTGGTGAGCAGGCAGGGTCGTGGTTGATCCTGAGGAAAGGAGACAAAAAGTCAGTTGATCTAAGAGAGTGGTTGAAGTATTCACTTGTGCGGCTGAGGTGTCACTTTAGTTTAGCTGACAATCTCATGCTGAAGGGAGATTGGAGACAGGTGTGGAGGTAAATGATCAAGCATCACATCATGTAGCACAAGGCTATGTTTGTGCTTTAAACTAAATCTGGTTGGCTCTGTATCTATTTTAAAAGACTGCAACTGCTCTTTGAACACAATATGTACATTAACATGAAGTTAACTTGCAAATGCAATGCAATCTATACAGTGTCTATGTAAAGCTGCCCTTGTTTGTAGCCTGTGGCTTTGTCAAGTCTTTGAAAATAACCTCTGGTGATGTCATAGTGATGCCATCTGGAAACCTACACCTAAAATAATTCTCAACAAGTGTCTCTGGCCCCCCTTTTGCCTCAGGGAGCAACACTCAAAAGTAAAGATGCTAAGCTATAAAAATTAAGAAACATTATAGGGCTTTTGTTTTGGGCTGGGTTTAAAAGACAGGTGACTCTCACCCAGAGAGTTATTTCCAGAGGGGAAAAGCACTGAAATGCCTTGGTGGCACGCAACACTCACCCCTGTCTCCCAGCTCTTTTTAGAGAAGTTGTTGCCCAGCTAAACTGAGTGTGTGGGTGTGTTGGGACGCAATAGCCAGCCTGACTGTGGCTGTGCTTTTTATGTTGTAGCTCTGTATGCATATAACCCGATTCCCTTTATAGATCTATGGAATTTGGATATTGAATGTAGGGCAAGAAAAGGGTGGAGGATGGAGGGGTGGGTTTTGGAGTTTCAGGGGTAAACAGCAGCCAAGAACGAGTGGCGTTGAAGTATGAACTGGCGAAGACTGGGAGTATGACCAGTGTAGATATCGTGCTGGTGATCTGTCCCTGGCCGCGCCTCCGCTAGTCTTTAGGGGAAGATGGCACACACCTGCTGATGGGTGAGACACAGAGGAGCTGTGACAAGAAGTTGATTTAAAGGTCTGGTGTGTAGGATATAAGTGAAAGGGAACTATTGGCAGAAATGTAATGTAGAATAATCTTCATGATGCTTTCACTAGTTCGTTTCATCTAAATTGTATGAATTGTAGTTTTCTTTACCCCAGAAAAGGTCCTTTATATTTAAATCTTGCTTTCATGTGTTGAAGAATCTTCATGATGTTTTCACTAGTTCATTTCATTTAAATTGTATGAACTGTAGTTTTTCTTTACCCCAGAAA